CGAGCAAATTTTTGCCTACCATCCTCGCAATTAAGTTTTTATAAGAGACTGGCTAAGATTTTATGCATTATCGAAACAAGAACAAAATTAACCGCAAAATTTATTGGCTCGAGTTGTTGTTTGAGATGCACTGTTAACCTTTTAGGAAATTTTAACGTCGTTCAAATCATCTTACCATATATGACCTGGTTCAACAATTCCATAATAACGAGTTACAAATGCTAGCAGCAAGAGTCCCCCAAAAGCTGTCAAACGACTCGAAAGGTTCGCATTCCCTTTATCGCACGGTCTCGCCATGTTTGATCGAGCGCCGGTTGCCTTCCTACACGATGATATCATTTCGGATTCACTGTCGCTGTGTTTGTCTTGTTTCGATGAAGCTCCTTTCCGTGGTGTCATTATTACAATTTTCAGCTAATTTGCTGAGTTTTAGCCAACTTGATCTTTAACTACAAAATCTCATCGATTTCGCGCGTGCACTGACGGCAGGAGACGCTCGAACGACGAGCAAGCGCCGTATTTTTGTCCTGTGTCATCGCAGTTAGCACAGGCATACCATACTATGCAATGAGGGAAGTTCCGGCGGAATTGGCATTTTAGACCATAAATCTACATGAATCCAGTCTTTCTAATTCAGAAGTACAATGTCTTATCACTGAAAATTCTCCAGACTTTGTACATACAAAAAATATTAATTGTTCGTCACAACTTCCGTTGGCTTGGTAACTTACATTACAGCTTTGATGGGTCCTCCGCCGTTCAAATCAACCAAGATTTTGGGTCATATCATGATAAATTCATATATATATTTTGACCGTGTTCAGCTCAAAACTGTTAATAGGTGTTAATACTTCACTATAAAGACCAATGATAAGTTTTTTGGGGGAAGAAGGGCAGTTTTTTACTGTTTAATGGTCTTTATGATTGTCTGTTTGCAAATTGTTTTCTTTTCGATTCTTTGACTTGCCATGCAAAGCTTCAGTTAGACATAGTTACAAATGGGAAAGTGTTACACACTGATGCTACAATAAAAATATTACAATAAGTTAGTGAAAATGACTTTTAAAGGTAGATTGGAAAATCTCGATTCAGAGTTTTTCGCAGACGCATTTCTGTTTGGCAAAATTTTGTTAATGGAAAGGGCACGTACCCAAGCGTATATGTAATAAAAGCGTTTTTATGGGAAATAAACTTAGAATAGAGACAAACTAAACGGGTGACATTCCTAAGTTATTTTAGACTGCGAGCAGTTTCTTACTTTTTTTTTTTTGAGTCACAGTAGATCGAGAGAACGGGTGAGGGGCAAGCGGCAAACTCTCCGCCCCAATCCCCAATAATTTCACTTGCTTGGCTCTGAGGAAAGAAGGACAACCGCTCGCGGTCTAACTTTGTTTCAAATAGCCTATACTTATAATTTATTTAGTGTTGTTTTCTGCTTTTCTGGGGTTTCGAAAACTCCCAACCTCCCCCTTCCCTACCCGTCATTGGTTAAATGGAACTCAAAACCTAGGTTTTTGTGGAGGAAAGCTGAAAACACACACTGACTTCATACCAACCAGATATGCGCCGGAAGGGTAACGTTAAAAAATCTTGTGGCGAACGCAAGCCCCAAAACTGCNTTTTCTGCTTTTCTGGGGTTTCGAAAACTCCCAACCTCCCCCTTCCCTACCCGTCATTGGTTAAATGGAACTCAAAACCTAGGTTTTTGTGGAGGAAAGCTGAAAACACACACTGACTTCATACCAACCAGATATGCGCCGGAAGGGTAACGTTAAAAAATCTTGTGGCGAACGCAAGCCCCAAAACTGCAAAGAAAATCAGCAATTTCACCATCACCGATGTTCTACTTTTGCCATTTAAACCTGCACTGACAGATGACAGCCACTTGGAAGCTAACGATGTGTGCTGTTCCTTCTTGCTCGGAGGTTTAGTTTTAAGAATAGATTTCCTCAGTTCGGCTTTAGTTCTATTTCCCGCCCTGCCAGTTTTTCTGTTGCGAACATCGCCGTTCGTTTGTCTTTCTTCTTGCGCCGTTTTGCTGTCTTTGTCATTTTCGTTTGCTGTTTCGGTGACATTTGCATGCAAATCGTCGTCTTTTTTCACGTCTCCGTTTTGGTGATCATTAATTTCCTCAGCGCTGATTTCTGATCCCATATTATAGTTCAGCTCCCCTGTAAAACTCCGTGGACATAAAGTAATTTCCGTGAAAGGACCGGGGAAGAGAAGTCCGAGTTCCACGTTGGCCTTTACTCTTTTTTTGACATTTAAATTCAAAATTACACGTGAACATTACTTTTTAAGATCAACGTATGATTACATTCCACCCGGATATCATACATTCTCCGTGGTAACAAAACCAAGCGTAAATCGGTACAGTGACCATAGTAGTTGTTCTGCGCTGTCCCGATGTCATTTTGGCAAATATGTCTTTGTATGTTAATAAAGACGTTTTGTTGCTTCTGGCCACAGGAAGGTCTGGGGTTTTCACGAGATCCTCTTTAATACTGAGCCATAAGCACGCCTAAAACTCAATTCTTCTCGCGGCTGGTAAAACCCAAAACTTTGACTTCACCGGAGTCAGAGGTGAAGTTTCAAGGGTAAAATTTGGAGGTGAATATCTGTCGCTCAATGGTATTATAGCGTCCAATGTAAACAAAAAACGGGTTCATATTATTGTATTGCCCGAAAAAATATTTTTTTGCATATACATTCAGCCATCATAGTTTACGAATCGTTGTCTTTATTAAGGACTCTAGCATATGTTATAAAAAATTGTCCTTAAATTGCTCGAGAAAAATTGAAATTTGTTTTCGCAAGCAGAGCTAAGTTTTCAAAGTAAAAAATTGATGCTAAAATCGTCTAGTTATGCTTTAAGTTTTCCAATAAGCCGCCATTTCAAGTTTTGTCAATTCTTCCATCCTAAAGAACGTTGGTTAAACCTAAAACGACTTAATTTTGAAAATGGCAGCAAACCAGAAAATTAAAAGCGAAAGTAGCCATAGTCTACTTCCCACCCGTTTTTAGGCTTGTCACGCAAAACCCCTCCCCGTGAAGACTCTAAAAACGGATGCGAACGAGACTTAAGTAGGCGATATTTTGTCAAATTTCTGATGCGTTAAGTTTCTTTTCACTTTAGAATAGTTGATAGCCGTTGCATTTTAAGGCAAAAATTAACTTCTTTTCTGTACAAATCTGAGCTTTTTTTTCATTAAAATAATATATTTCAAACGTTTGTAATCCTGACTTCCTTTTAGTTTCAGCTGCCTTCATTAGCCTTCCCATGATACCTCTGGCTGCACTAGTCTCTCACAGGTGGGCACACGGGTTGGGTCTTGAAGTTCCAACTGATATCCCACGTCTTATTCAGAGTGACACGCGGCTCAGTCAATTTCAGACATGCCAATCAACCCCGGGCATTTGCCAGGCATTTTTTTTAGGGGGGAGGGGGGGCATTTGTCATTAAGGGAATCAAAGTTCTGCCCAGGGGTGAGGCATTTGTATTCCTGTAAGTTAGCCAGTCTACCTCAGGCTTTCGGTCAGAAAATAGCAAGCAAGCAGCAAAAAAAGCGCACACGCAGCGAAAAGGCTGTCAAACATTTTTTTGCACTTTTTTTGATCCATTGCCCTACTATCTTGAAGCCTGGAGCAGGTTAATTGCAAGTTATTGAATGCAGTAACTAGAAAATTATTAAAACTTTCTTAAGGAATATCCAATGGGCGCTAAGGGAGTATTATTCTGTTATCTGTTCTGCTGATCATCATCTTCAACTAAGCATTCAAGTTCTTCATTGTTTATGGGCTGTTTGGGAAACAAAGCTCTGTACATAGGGAAACAGCAAGAATTTCCCTTCATTTCACTCTCAACTATAACAAAAGACCCTGTTGGTTCACTGTTGTCCATGAGTTCCTTCATGTGACTTTCCTTGGCTTCTTGTAATGTCTTTATCATGTCTTTTGAGGATAAAGGCTTTCTTTTCTTTTCCTGCAGTCTCTGTAATTCCTTCTCTGAAATAAAGAAACACTTTTATTGTGTTTTCCAAGGTGGGTAGAGAGACAACGTTTTCATTTAAATTTACCAGCCAATTTTACTGCACTTTTCACAAACATGCGAACTCTAAAGTTCAAAAGGAGCCTTCACAATTGCGTTTTTCGCTGCCGTCAATCATAATTATGATCACAAGCAACGAACCTTGAAACACAGAAACACACAAAACGGATCGAAATCCACCAATCACAAATCACAAACCATTACCGTTTGAACCCCTTAAAGTAAAGTTTTGTTTCCTAAGAGGTCCGTTAAGATGATTGAGAGCAGCGAAAAATGCAATCTTCAGTTGGCTTTTGAACTTCAGAATTCGAATGTTTGTGAAAAGGGCAGTAAACTCTATTTTAGTCCATATCTCTGGATTTTTTACCAATTCACTTCCCATTAGTATGAGTCAGGAACCAAAGTGATAGACTGCGAACAGTCTCTCATAGTCAGTTCAGTCAACTCTCCCAGATAATCTGGGAGACTCCAGATTTTGGACCATATCTCCCGGTCTCCAGATTAGAGTCTGAAACCTCCCGGATAATTGTCAAAGTTTGCCATTTCCTGTAGACTTGACTTTCCAGCAATGAAGTTTCAAATATTTTGTGTTGTTTGAGCTATTTTATTGTTAACAGTATATCAGACGTTTAATATAAATAATATACGACGTTTAATAATAATGTGATATAAGCTTGGGCAATAATGTGATTGGTGAGAAGTAAACCAATCAGATCAAATGTTACAATGTTATCAACAGCGTTTTTTTACATATTTCATGTCATGGCAAATTTGTGATGATCGGAGTTAACGAGTATTTTTTCAGAAATGACGTCATGTGCTGTGTGTCATGACATCATCTACCATCCCTTCCCTATCAATTCTCAATATCTGAAGATGTCGGGGGTTGACAGCCCCCCATAGTGCAGGGCTGTCAACCCCCAGCGTCTTCAAATATTGAGGGATGATAGATGACATCATAATGCATGGCACATGACGTCATTTGTGAAAAAATACTCTTTCACTCCGATCGTCACGAATTTGCGATAACACAAAATGCACAAAAAAGATGTTGTTGGCACTGTATTATTCGACCTGATTTGTTTACTTCCCACAAGAGACCAATCGCATTATTACATGACATTATGGCATACCGGAGGAAATGATTGATGTCAACATTTGAATAGCCCACACAACACAAAATAGTTGACACTTTATTGTCGGAAACTCGAGTCCACTGAAGAAATAGCAAACTTCAGCAATTATCCAGGAGATTTCATACTCTAATCTGGAGACTGGGAGATACGGTCAAAAATCTGGAGTCTCCTGGATTATCCGGGAAAGTTGACAGTACTGTAATGGTCACACAAGTGGGCAGATTGAGCAACAAAAAAACGGCCAGAGCCTCAACTCGACTGATTGAAAATGAACTGCTTGCAGTCCGGTAGGTGGGGGGTGGGGAGGGGTGTGGCAAAGGGGAAGGGTGCTTCTGTTTATGGGGAAGAAGTCAAGTGCCAGAAGGAATCTGATAAAAAATTCCAAATATTTTGCAAGAGGTTGACAAATTATGTGGCTTTCTATATTTAAAGTTTGATAACCAAAAAATAATCCTTTAATGACATTGTTGAACTGATCATGACCATGTACGCTTCAATATCAAACTTACCCAAAAGTGAAAGATATCGCCCATTTTCTTCTGAAGGCTTTTCTTCAGTGGGACATTCAATCACTCTTGACTCCTTGACTGGTTCGTCAAACGTAACCCAACCAGTTTGACAAGGAAAAGTTGTTCTTTCTTTCACTCTAAAGCTATCATCTGACGTTTCACCGACTTCATCCATCATGTTACCCGGCACGGCTACTAAGCACCGAGGAAAGGCAGCTAAGCTATCGTGGTGAAGAACGCCTGACGGAAAAGAAGTCCCGATTTGCGTCAATGAAAGAGACAGATGTCTTCGAGTAAAATTTGACAGAATGAGACTTAAAGAACTAGAGCCTATAGAAGTTGTCCAACTACAGAAGCTTTTAGGTTTCCAACTAGAACTTGTCATGGGGTGTTGTGGCGTGTAACGCCGGGTATTGTTGTACACAATCGACAATACTTTTGGTGACATCGAAGGCAAGCTTGTGGGTGATTTAGGCTGTGGTTGCGGAGTTTTAAGCATCGGTTCTTGTATGCTTGGCAGTGCTATGACTTTTGGTTTCGATGTAGACAGCGATGCTTTGGAAATCGCGTCAAAAAACTGCGTTGAATTTGAGCTTCGAACATGCGAGTTGATTCAGTGTGATGTACAAGAATTTTCACCGTGTGACAGATGGAGCAAAGCGTTTGACACGATTATAATGAATCCACCGTTTGGCACAAAGAACAATAAAGGTAACCTTGGCAAAAGGGTTGTTTTTAGGATCTTCTTCTAGGGATAAGACATCAGAATAATGGTCATGGACAGGTGTTGGATTTCAGGTGGGGGTGGTGGGGAGGGGGGCCAACATTCCTGAAGTCAAGCTCTCTATTTTCTCACAATATTCCATAAAACCTTGGGAGAGCTTAATCACATGCTCAATGAAGGGCTGGAGTCAGCTAACTCCCCTGAGTTTAACTTGAGGATGTTCCATTTAATTTGATTAAAATTAAATGGTGAAGACCAGCAAGACATGGTTTAAATGTTGCAATAAATGACAAAGTGACTGTCAAAGGCCATGATATTAATTCTTTGTGAGAAAGTCATGTTTAAGACTTTTAGTGTCTTCTTCTCTAGGGATTGATCTGAATTTCTTACAAAAAGCAATCAGTATGACCAGAACAGCTGTGTATTCTCTTCACAAGACAGCAACAAGAGAATACATCAAGAAGAAAGCATCAGAATGGGGAGTGAATATGGAAGTATTAGCTGAACTGAGATTTAATTTGGCAGCCAGCTACAAGTTTCATCGCAAAAAGACTGTTGACATTGAGGTAGACTTCATAAGGATAGATTGTTCAGGTTGCTAGTGATGAAATAAATAAAAACATCAAGTCAGTATAAAGTTCTTTAAGGGACTGGATCCAGGAGAATTACCACTGCATGAACTTACCCCAGTTCTGGGGGAGGTTATTAGTAGGGGTATACAATTATTATCAGTGTCTGGTTGGTGGTAGCCTCCCACGCAGGCGTTTTTAGGGGAGCTCATTTTTCATCCCTCCCCACAAATGCCTGCTCAGCCGGAAACAACATTCCTTTCCCATTGTTTTATTTGCGTGGTAAGTGACCAATCAACAATTATTGTGCAATAAAGTGTTGACAGGCTAAACACGACTGAACGTGACCCTAGACTTACTGTTTCCCTTCTTTTCTTTCCTTTGCTAAGATTATGCAGTGCATGGAGTATTCCAAAGTTTGACTAAATCTTATTTTTGCTGCTCTGAATCTAACATTTATTGGAGGTCAGAAAGCTTTCCCAGTGTTTAATGCAGATCGAGTAATTATCAGATTACCTTGCAATCAAGGTCAACTTTCCAGAATTTAGAAAGTACAATGTGATTGGTTAAGCTTGGGAAAGGAATGTTTCTTCGGTTGGGCAGGCGTTTGTGGGAAGGGATGAAAAACGAGCTCCCCTAAAAACGCCTGCGTGGGAGGCTAGGTAGGTGGGATCCTGATTCCGCATTCCCGCTCCTTTTCATGAAAATCCCACATCCCACACTTTTTTCATCTTTTCCCCAAATCCCATTTTTTAGTTTCCAAAATAAGTAAGTTAGAAAAAGACTGATTGCAGCAAAAGCTTATTAATGGAAGATGTAGCTTGGCCCTTGCAATTGATATTTTGAATTTATGCAACTTTTAAGGTACCAGGTGCACTTTCCTGGCATCCAGTTTAAACAGTGGGTTTTGATCTTCTGTCTGCTCATCTGTTGATTACTTGACTGTTTAAATAATTTGCTTTGATAGTAGACACTGCTGTACGCTCGCCTGGTTGTTTTGCATTAGCTGTTAGAATGTACAATATCACGAATTCCCGACAAACAGACAAGAAAATCCCGCATCCTGTGCCCAAATTCCGGTGTATCCCTCTTTCCAAGTAGCAGTCAAATCCCTTTCCCCTCAAGATATTTTGAGTTTTCTTGAATCCCACACCGTATTTTGGTCAAATCCTGGATCCCGAAAATACCCTCCCAGACCCTGAATTATGTGCTTTCAGTTGGCACATTTGTGGAAAAGTTGAATAGTACTGTAGAGTCAGGCAATTACCCATGGGTACTCCTCTAAGTAACTATTGTAAATCATGTGACATATGGTGCAATATTTACTTAGAGGGGTACCCATGGGTAGTCACCTAACGCTACAGTACTGTTTCTCACAAGTCTTAATTTTCTATAGTGTAGGGTTTTCTTCACTCCCAAAATTCAATCTTTTATTTGCCACTTAATTTTACACTACATATAAAAAGAATCGGAAACTTTTGGTAGTTCCTCTTAATAAAATTGTAAAAATTTGTACACTGAAGTAATAACAGTGAAATACTAAAATAAGTTGATATAACTTCGGCTTGTGCCAGTCAATTAGGAAACTTGTAAAGAAAGGAAACTTGAACATAAATTGTTTTAGCACATAGAAAGCTAAAATATCTTAATATTTTAATTGAAACCTTAACGTAGTGCATGTCGTATTCTATGCCTGGGTCTTTTCCATCCCTTCATAGTGGATGTGCATTGTACACCCTTGTCCCATGAATCTTTCCTGTGCTTTGTGTGGGCCGAAAGTTCCAGTTTGCTTCAAAAGAATTTAAAGAGGAAACAAGGATAGCATTTGATGAATCTCTATTTAAAAAAGAAATTAAAAATTCCATTGTGAAAATGAAAGTACCATTGACAAAAAATTATCCAAACTTTGGAGCAATTTTAAGTCAGAACGTTTAAAAGCCTCAGTGTAAAAAAAATTAGTGTTCTGCTGACAGAGCTAGTAACAGAGGCCATAAGTAGCACTATAAAAACCAAACCTTTAACTTAGTTTTGAAATTTAAAAATCAAATTGGTAAGCGTGAGGAAACAAGTGATGACTGCCTGACACAAGTGGAAACTTTGAAAATTAAGAGAGATCATGAAGAAATTAAAACAGAAAAAAAAATCATCAAAAACTATTCAGAGGGGAACTCCGTCTTTGTTTTAACCTTTGATCAGGCGTCTCTCAAACAAAAAGGGATGAAGGACCGCCTGATCGCAGGTTAGCTTGGTTTTAAAAATGGAGGGAGGGAGAGAAACAGAAGTAAAAGAAATTACTCCAAAAATATGCAAAAAAAAAAAAAATTCCCAATTTAGAATATTATTTCTCTAGTTCTGATACTCCTTCAACACTGTGAGTTAGTCAAGCTAATTTCGTCTGTTAGTTCGTCTGAGCTGTGATTGGCTAAAACGTAACAATACTGTTTTTCAGTTTACAGTTCATTTAACGAAAACAGCGTATGTCTCTTAGTAATTTTAGTCAGGGGCACCCAACGACTGTTTTCTGTATAATATCTGTTCGGAGAAGCAAACATTGTCTAGAATTTCCTTTTGCTTGAGGACGGCTAAAAATTTCTAGATGAACGTTCCATTCATGTACAATTTTCGAAGCTTATCTAATAAATTCCCTACAATTTTCTGAAGTTTAATTTTTCATATTTTACTAACCAGTTTACGCTATTTTTTGTAGAAAAAAAAAACCTAAAATTTTCAGATTCTAAAATGTGATGGAGAGAGGAATCACAAAAATTTTCTTTTTCGTAAAGCGTTAAATTGCACCTAAAATTTTCGGAAAAATTATACTGAAGCCCTTGTAATTTCGAAAAGACTCAAGATCCCCTAGGATGACCGAAGAGATAAAAATTTTGTAGTGCTGCCTAGAATGCATTTCTAGAGATCTAAAAACACTCTGGATAGCCTAAAAAGTGTTTTCAACATATTTTGGAGGAAACCGTCGTTGGGTGCCCCTGTTTAGTGACTGGATAAGCATTGTTAAGTAGATATTCATAAGTATTTTGTTTGTGTTCGTGTACGTGTTAAACTGACGCATCCGCCCCGGGCTGTGATTTTAGTGGGCACCTTACAGTCGCCAAATGTATAAGATGACAAACCGCAGAATTAAACAGTCACGCGCATTTTAAAGCCTTTTCCTTTCGTTTCTTGAAACTTTTAAAGATAGAACGTGATAGAAGTTGAATACCGCATAGACACTTTGTTGTTCAATTCGAATTTAGGTTATGTTATTAACCTCTGAATGTATTTCAGTAGAGGAGTATGAAAGATATCAGGTTGTAGTTCCGGGTTCGATAATTGCTGATACTTGCCTGATAATACGTTCGTTTCTACGGTCTAAAACCGTAAAAGCGTCACGGTCCTTAATCTTTTGAAAGCGGTTCCTTTTATACACCTGTGAGCACATCTTAAGCTGCTATAACACCCCTCATTATAGCCAGCCAAATCTATAAGTGAAGCCTACGCATTCGATGTCATATATATTAGTACACACTATACTTTATTTTCATTCACACCATTTTGGCTGCTCATTACTATGCTGCTCATTACTATTGTTCCAAGCACCAGATGAAAACCCAACTAACACAAAACAAAAACGTTCTTAACATTCCACAAGGTTTGGCGCTTAAGGTTCTCGAATCGTTTTAGATTACCAACATGGGCGGTGATTGGTCAATAGTTTCCTCAAAAACCAGTTCAAAAACCACGTGAATGAATA